AAAGCAAAGAAGTGCTGAGGCTTGCTCAGAAGTGACCTATGGCCAAGGAGGCTGTGCATGTGGCATGAGTTCTATAGTGAGCACACAGACGACCCAGCTGAGCAGGAAAGCCCTCCTGGTCAAGGCAGGCCCGAAAGGCTTCTAGAAACCTTCACAAGTCCTGCTTGGTTCATTCGGCACACCTGGCTGTGCCTGAAGGCCCTTTATTAACCTAAGTTCCCTAATAATGTCTAAGAGTTGTTGCCAAACTGTGGACACAGTTGGAAAAGAGAGTCCAGAAGATGATCACGTAGCCTTTCAGTCTGCTCCTACACACCACTATAAATGTTCCACAGAGTAACTTAGACAAGGTGCCCCAACAGCAGTCAGAGGATTTTAGCTCTGGATACAGAGGATGTAACGTTAGAGACAAGCACAGGGTTCAGGATATAAAACACTATGTATTTCTCAGCATCCCCAACGACATAAATCCTGACCTTTCCCCCACAGTAAGACTTCTGGAAGAATGATGCTGCCATCGGAGGAAACCAGCATCCTTTCAGGAAGACCAGCTAACACCATCCAGTCAGTGTGTCTTCTCTACTTTCAGATCCTGAGGTATTCTGTCTCCCAGACCAAATATTTAAGTAACACTCTTGGTATATTCTAAGAAAAATTAGAAAAAGGGGGAGGGGGGTATGACAAGACTTCCATAAAAAGATGCTTTCCTAGAATCTATTTTCACACCTCTCAGTGAAGTGGTAAGTTTATATATATAGCTATGAAAAGTTACTTTTAAGAATAATCAAAATACTGTCCCTTCTCACACCCCAAAATCACAAACAACATCATTAGCTCAATCCTCAAGCCTAGAAAGCAGGTTTTGCTGAGAACACTTTCAGAAAACAAAAGACCAGTTTGAAACTCATTGAACAAAACGGTGTGGGGTTTTTTGTCATTTTTATTTTTATTTTCTCTTAGGAACAGAATTTATTTAAGCTAAGGTATCTTTGCTATCACTTGTTATGCATCAGAGAGTTGGATAATGACTAAGAAGGATAGAAGAAGAATTGATGCTTTTGAGCTGTGGTGCTGGAGAAGAGTATTGAGGGTACCATGGACTGCTAGGAAAACAAACAGATTCATCCTGGAAAGGGTC